TTCTTTGTCGTGTTCAGCATTTGGTGGAGAGTTCACAATGTCTAAATTCTTTGCTCTGCAGGTAAATTTGCAAATTAAAGAATGACAAAGTTTTTTAAAAAATCAGTTTATCCATGGTTTTGAATTTTTCAAGAGAAACTATCTTTTTTACCTGGTTTCTGCATCCATTTCATATTCCTTGAACAGGTTATATATTTTCTGACAACAACAAAAAGACCCATTTCAAACAGCTAGAAATACTTAGGTTTTCGGGGTTTTTTCTTTCTCTTCTTTTTGATCATGGTAGTGATAGGAGAATAAATCCTAAACTGAATATTTACTTTAGAGAGAGAGATGGCGGGGGGGGGGGGGCAGAGAGAGAGAAAAACAGGGAAGAAGGGAGGGAGGAAGAGGGGGGAAAAGCAGCAACAGCAAAGGAAAGAAAACTGTGAAGAACTTTACAAGTGCAAAATGAACATGAAACCTTCTAACAAATAAAAATGTACCTTCTTTCCCTTATCCAACCTCCATCCCCACAGATAAAAACAGAATACTTACAAGTTAGTATCTGTGTATTTGTGGGTGTCTCTGTGTGCATGTTTTCTCTCTTCTTTGGATTTGGATACTTTGAGCTAATTTGGAAGTGCCCGTTTGGTTGCTCACAAAATGACGCTTAAGGGTCTAAAGATGCATAAATTAGAAGTCCTACAATGGCAGAGGATGATCATTGTACCTCATCTCTTTATGCGCTCTTATGGTGGGACCCAAGAGCTTTTTTTTTTTTTTTTTTTTTTAACACTTTAGATGATGGAGCGAATGAGGGGCTGGTCGCTGTAGAGGACAAGGCGAGCCCTGCACAACCCCTCCAACTCAGCACCACATCCCCGCTCCCCAAATATGCTGGACTTTGCTACAAAGTCCCTTTAGGGAAACTCCGGTCTGGAAGGAAAGAAGCGCTGAGTCCTTGACGTCAAGCCCCGACGCCGACCTCGGAGTTTCTATTTCTGGTGCTTGAGGGTTGGGGTAACTGCTGGGGATGGAGGCGGGAAGGATGGAGAAAGCAAAGGGGGGTGATCTTCTCAAGAAACACCCAACTGCCCCCTTTACCTTTTTTGCCTCCATTACGGGGGGTGGGGGGTAGAGAAAAAGATGTCAATGACCATTGTTTGCTCGTTTGGGATGTTGCTCCGCCCCCCGAGTCTGTCGTAAACCTGGCGGCGGACTAAAATAAACCCCAGATCCCGCGGCTCGCGGGCTC